GCTACCAGGTGGGTGAAAGGCTTTGAAGCTGTTGCTGTGCAGTCATTTCAGTCTTGTCCAACTCTTCATGACCTCATTTGGGGTTTTCTTGGCAAAGATGGTGGAGTGGTTTGCCATTTCTTTCTCCAGCTCATTTTACAGATAAGGAAACTGAAGCAAACAGGGTCAAGTGACTTGCCCAGGGTCACATTGCTAGTGAATGTCTGAGGTGGGATTTGAATTCAGGTCTTTCTGACTTTAAGACTGGTGTTCTAACTGCTGTGCCACCTAGCTGCCCTACATTGAAGCCATGCCATATAAATAATGGTCTAGGCAACTAGGAACAGCCTGGAGAAGAGGTTTAGGGAGGATTATGATCACTGTCATAAAATATCAGAAGAGCGGCTATGTGGACCAAAGAACAGACTTATTCTAAGTGGTTGTGGAGGGCAGAACTAAGAACATTGAACAGACAGTTTAGAATACAACTCTGCATAAGTACAGAAAAAGTATGGCACAGTGGGTAGAAAACAGGTCTTGTAGTCAAGATGACCTGAGTTCAAGTCCCACCATTGACATAAACTGGCTATATGACCCTGGGCAAGTCACTTAACTTTACAGTATCATAGGAAATTCTTTTAAGACTGTAGGTTGCAGAGAAGGTGTCAACTTGCATAAGCAAAAGGTGTTTCTCACTGAGAGCTCCTCATGCTGATGGAATCATAGGTCCTGTGAAAAAACAAGTGTATTTGCATATGGTGTGTGTGTGTGTGTGTGTGTGTGTGTGTGTGTGTGTGTGTGTTTGTGTACAGGGCTCATGGATCCAGAGCTGGAAGGGACTTCAGAGATATTTGAACCCAACCCTCCCATTCCACAGGTGAGAAAACTGAGGCACAGAGAGGTTTGCCCAGGGTCACACAATTAATAAATGGCTGATGTGAGTTTTGAACCTAGATGCTCCTAATTCCAAGTCCAGGGCACCAGCCACTACCCCATACTTTAGCCCTCTCACTTTAGGGGTGAGTAAATGCCTCATGGGGTTATCTTGTTGAAGGTGACCTGGGTAGCAAGCATTTCTGGTGGGACTGAAATTCAGGCCAAGAACAGCGTTCTTTCCATTGTGCTTCATTGCTCTACGCTGTCTTTTCAGAACATTAGCTTCTTGAAGGCAGGGAATATATCTTTATAGCCCAGTGCCTGCTATGCAGTAGGTGCTTAATAAATGCTTGTTGACTGATTGGCCGTAAGGAAGAACTCTAGTACCAACTTGCAGATGGAATGGCTGCTTTGTGACCCAGGAGTTCTTGCCAGTAAAGTTTTTGAAGGAGAAGTTGGATGAATGCCCATTTGTTGGGAGTCCTGTCAGGGGGTCCATGCATCAGGTGAGGAGGGAGCCATTTGGCTTAGGTGACCTGTCAGATCCTTCCAACTCTGAGATTCTGTGATTAACTTGGGGCCCACTGGCTGCTAGAAGGGTATCTATGGGAACTTCTAGGGGTAGAGGAGACATCTACAGTCACTGGTTTCTTCTAGACATAGTTTCAGGAAGGGAAACCCCAACACAGCACATGGCTTCCTACCTCCAGGGCAGCTGGTGACCTCTTTTGCCTGCCCTCTCCAGATGGAGTGGACATTCTTACCCTGCTGCTTTCCTCACTAACCTGCTACAGTTCAGCCACTGGACTGACCAAGGTCCAAGGTATTGTCCTTTACTGGTGTGTCAGCTTGCCAGAGGCCAGCTCTTTCTTGGATAGGATTCTGGGGGAAACTAGTCAATGTGGTGGACTTGGCATCAGGAAAACCTGAGTTTAAATCCTCAACTTTGTCCTCTTAACCTCTTTCAGCCATCCTTATCTGTAACATGGGGATGATAACAGCACCCACTTCACATAGTTGTTACGAGGATTAAATATGATAATTTGGGTAAAGCATTTTTCAGATCTTCAAACCTACATACATATTAACCATCATCACTATTATTACCTTTGCTTTCACCTCTGGGCTTTCACCTTTCACTCATTTAAAAAAATTAAATTAAATTAAAATCCTCTGATCCTCTGATTGATAAAGCATGAAAAGATATGAACAGGCAGTTTTCTAAAGAAAAAAATTCAAGCAATCAACAGCGACATGAAAAAGTGTTTCAAAGCAGTAATAATTAGACAAATGCAAATGAAAACCACTCTGATGTACCACCTCACACCTATCAGGATGGCAAAGTTGACGTAAATAGAAAACAACAAATTCTGGAGAGGCTGTGGGAAAACAGGCATGTTAATACACTCTTGGTACAACTTTGACTTGGTTGGGTCATTCAGGGTCATTCAGCAGTTTGGAACCATGCCCCCAAAGTTACTAAACTGTGCATACCCTTTGACTTAGCAATACCACTGCTAGGATTCAAAGAGATTAAAGAAGAAGAAAAAGACTTATTAGTATAAAACTATTGATAGCAGCTCTTTTTCGTAGTGACAAAGAACTGAAAATTGGGGAATAGATTATTAAATTATGTCATGTAAATGTAATGGAATACCACGGTGCTGAAAAAAATGAAGGGAATAGTTTCAAAGAAGCCTGGAAAGTCTTGCTATATGAAGTGATGCATAATGAAGAGAGAAGAACCAGGAGAACAATTTCTTTTTCATATTATTTATTTATTTTTAAGGTAATTGGGGTTAAGTGAAGACCTGCTTATATTCTCAGAGGAGAATGAGTCTGGTCAGACCTGGGCTTTAGGACTTTGGTGGTCGTGTGGAAGGTGGATTGGAGAGAGAAGAGGCTGAGCATGATTACGTCCTAGACAAGGCACTATTTCACTTTCCTACCTTATTCTCTGCAGGATCCAGTGAACTGCTGTGATTTTCTCAAGGCCTGGAAAGTGCTTTTTTTCCTAACCCCCTAAATGGGGATGGCACCCTCCTTCCCAAGATATCTCATGCCTAATTAGGATCGGTCTGCCTGGATCCTCTGTCTTGAACTCCCTGGTTAGTTCTCAGCTAGTCAATGATATTCCCAGTGACATGGTGGGATTTTGCATGGTCTGTTTATATTCCTGGATGGATTGACCTGATTTTCCCTTCTCCAAAACTAAGGGGAAATTAAAAAAAAAAGGTTTCTAGAAAAAGGCTTGTTATAGGAAATGGTATCTGAAAGATGCTCAAAAAAATCAGATTTGTTCAACTTCATACACACGCCAACAAAGCTCACAAAAAATGTTATGTTTAAATGCCACTCCCCTCCCAACGGAGACTTTGGTTACTATTACTGCACCTTTAAGAGAGAGGGAGAGAATTTGGGGAATGATAGTTAATTGACTTTGAGCAAGTCTGTGAAGGAAGATGGGAGATTAGAGGCATCTTTCCAGCTGAACTCTCCCGACATGTCTCACCAAACAGCTTTAAAATAATTCCTCAAGTCAAGTTTTGGAGTGGCAGAGCCAACTTAAGGTCAGGATGACACATTTTTCTGCCCTAAGAAAACCTAGGAGGCGTGCAGGAGAAGTCTGTGACACTGGGGTTGAGGTCTGTCATGTGGCAGCAGCCACAGCAGCAGCTTCAGGAGTTCTCAGACCAGAGACACACAGTAAGGGGGTTGGACAACTGGTCAGAAAGAGATTACCGGGCTTATCTGGCACTGGGTGTGGCTGGCTGGTGCTGACTGGCAACTCTGTTGCCTGTAAACAATTCTTGGTTGCAGTTCTGGTGTGGAAAGGAGCATTTGTGGTCCATCACAAGGAAACAGGGGACCTGGTCGTAGTTCCATGGCCCAGAGGAGCATTAGCGTTTGTAGCTGTGGGGCAGTAGGGGCCCTTCCTGGGTAAAGACCAGAGCACAAACCAGGAAAGCAGTGACCACAGCTCTACCTATATCATACCACCTTGGAAGCACTGAAAACTTGCAGACCCACAGAATTAGCTCTAAAGCAGCATGAAATAGCCTGAAGCTTAGGACAGTGCCTCCCCAGCCCAGGTGAGCAGAGTCCAACTTTAATATAAAGTTCAAAGTCAAGAAATAGATTGGACAAATAAGTAAGTAGCAAAAAAAGCACTTAACCATAAACAGCTACTACGGTTGCAGGGAAGACCAAGACACAGACTCAGAAGAAGACACTATGAAAACAGCTAGAAGCAAAGCCTCAAAGAAAAATATTAATTGGATCCAAGCCCAACAAGAATTCCTGGAAGAATTAAAGAAAGAGCTAAGCATGATAGAGGACAAAATGTGAAAAGAAAGGAGAGTTAGGCAAGAAAATTATGAAAAGAGAATTTTCAGTTTGGTAAAAGAGGCACCAAAAAATACTAAAGAAAATAACACCTTAAAGACCAGAATTGGCCTAATGGTAAAACAGGCAAAAACATTCACCACAGAAAAGAACTCCTTAAAAATTAGAATTGGTAGGGGGGCAGCTAGGTGGCACAGTGGATAGAGCACCAGCCCTGGAGTCAGGAGGACCTGAGTTAAAATCTGGCCTCAGACACATAACACTCACTAGCTGTGTGACCCTGGGCAAGTCACTTAACCCCATTGCCTACCAAAAAAAAAAAAACCAAAGGACAAACAAAAAAAAATTAGAATTGGGGGGAGCATCTAAGAGGAGCAGTGGATAGAGCACTGGCCCTGGAGTCAGGAGGACCTGAGTTCAAATCCAACCTAGGACACTTGACACTTACTAGCTGTGTGACCCTGGGCAAGTCACTTAACTCCAATTGCCTCACCAAAAACAAAGAAACAAACAAAAACCAAAAATTAGAATTGGGCAAGTGGAAGCTAATGACTCATGAGACATCAAGAAACAATAAAACAAAGTTAAAAGAGTAAGCCTGTGAGGCACTGTGAGAGAATTGAGAACTGTCTCAAGGAGACTTCAGAGTTAATTGTCACTGAGAAAATCTATAAGTAAGTTGGAGAGTTAACTGTCAGTTTTGAGAAAGTCTGAAGAGACATTTTGAGAGAACTGAGTTTAACTCCAATTCTGTGGAGAAGACATTCCAGGGAAAATTCCTGAGAGACTTTAAGTGCCATTTGAAGATAATTTAATTGTTAGTTTGTGTTTCCAGAGTTTTCGGACAGTCAGCAGAAGTAACCCTGCCTGTCACTTTTCTCATAGCTGATGCGTTGTTGAAATATTTGTCTATGTTTCTTAATTACTGGTTACTGTTAATAAATTATATGACTAGGAACACTGATGTTGGTCTAAGACTGTAAGTTTCTAGTGTGAGGCACTAGGAGAGAAAGTTTATAGGAAATGAAATTCTCCCTATTTTTATAAGCTGGGGTTACAGCTTGGAGCTAATTAGTTGATTGAGAGGTTTTTAATTTATAGCAATTTATGGGGAAATATAAGAACATACCCCTTTATTTTCTTTGAATGAGTAAGAAATTTAATAAGGAAACAAGCTAGAAGCAGGTTAAAAGATGGTGTTTAGATGTGTCTGTCCTTGAGAATACCTCAGAGTTATACCCTCACAACCTGCATCTCATACTTGAAAAACTATAGGTGGGTTAGCGAAAGCCATGTAACACTTGCAGCCTTATCCCTGTTACGTGTGGAGCATAAGACAAAACCTGTTAATCTCATATTTAGAACCCTGTACCTCACACTGGGGGCTCTTAATGTTCTAACCCTGAATCATGTGTGCCGGACGCTGCATTTAAATTTGTGTGTGGTCTGACCATACACAACTCCACAAACCAGAATTCCTGCTGGCTTGAGCTCTTTGGGACTCAGCACGTCTGAGGTTGGCTTTTCTGCAGTGGGAATGGGTTGTGAAGTGCTTAGGAAAGGCAGCCAGGGAGATGGAAGCCATCATTAACTATCACTGTTGATGCTGAGGGTAAATCCCAGGAAATGCCAGGTACTGGAGGCAGGTCCAGGACTAAAATTAAGAAAAAATTAAAATCAATATTTTTTGTATCACCTTGATCTCCAAATAAATCCCGTCCCAGGGAACCATCTCCTCTCCTCTCCTCTCCTCTTTTCTTCTCCTCTTCTCTTGGGTTTTTAAAAAATACCTTCCCCTCCCCAAAGAATGCAAATCCATTTTTTTCCCTTCCACTTTTCACACCTCCCTCCCTTCCCCCAGCATTGAAAAAAGAGGGAAAAACAAAAATCTTGGAACAAATACATACAGTCAAGCTAAATAGATTCTGGCATTGGCCATATCCAAAAAAAAATACATGTCTCAATTTGTACTCTGAATCCATCACCTCTGTGTCAGGAGATGTCCCATCATAAGTCCTTTGGGACTGTGGTTGGTAATTGTATTGATTGGTATTCTTAAGTCTTTCAAAGCTGTTTGTCATCACAAGATCACTTTTACTATAGAAATTCTTCTCATGTTTCTCCTCACTTCATTCTGCATTAATTCATGCGTCTTCTGAGATTTCTCTGAAATGATTTCCTTCATCATTTCTTTCAGCACAATGGTATTTCATGACATTTTTATGATGTAATTTGTTTATCCATTCCCCAACTGAGTGCTACTCCAGTTTCCAATTCTTTGCCACCACACACACACACACACACACACACACACACACACACACGCACACACACACACACACACACACACAGACAGAGAGAGAGAGAGAGAGACAGAGAGAGAGAGAGAGAGAGAGAGAGAGAGAGAGAGAGAGAGAGAGAGAGAGAGAGAGAGCTGCTATAAATATTTGTTTGTAACTATGGGTCCTTTTCCTTTTTCTTTGATCTCTTTGGGATATATATGTAGTAGTGGCATTGCTGGATCAAAGGGTATTATGTGTACTTTAATACCTGTTTTGGGCAGAGTTCCAAATGGCTTTCCAGAATGACTGTATCAATTCTCAGCTCCACCAACGGTGCATTAATGTTCCTGTTTTCTCATAATCCAGCACTTGTCATTTTCCTTTAAAGTGTGAGAGTTGTTTTATTTTTAAAATTAATTAATTAATTTTTAGTTTTCAACATTCACTTCCATAAACTTTTGAGTTTTAAATTTTCTCCCTTTCCCTCTTGTCCTCCCTCCCCAAGACAGCATGCAATCTGATATAAGCTATACATATACATTCCTATTAAACATATTTTCACATTAATGATGTTGTAGGTAAGAATTAGAACCAATAAGAGGAACCACCAGAAAGAGGAAACAAAACACGACAGAAGCAAAAAAAATAGCAATAGTATGCTTTGATCTGCATTCAAACTCTGTAGTTCTTTCTTTGGATGTGGATAGCATTTTCCAACATGAGACCTTTGGAGATGTCTTAGATCATTGCGTTGCTGAGAAGGGCTAAGTCTATCAACGTTAGTCATCACACAATGTGGCAGTTACCGTGTACAACGTTCTCCTGGTTCTGCTCACTTCACTCAGCATCAGTCCATATAAGTCTTTCCAGGTTTTTCTGAAGTCTGCTTGCTCATCATTTCTTATAGCATGAACAGTATTTCATTACATTCATATACCACAACTTGTTCAGCCATTCCCCAATTGATGGACATCCTCTCAATTTCAGATTATTTTGGCCACAGAAAGAGCTACTATAAATATTTTTGTACCTGTGGGTCCTTTTCCCATTTTTATGATCTCTTTGGGATATAGCCCTAGAACTGCTATTGCTGGGTCAAAGGGTATGCACATTTTTATAGCCCTTTGGGCATAGTTCCAAATTTCTCTCCAGAATGGTTAGATCAACTCACAACTCCACCAACAATGTATTAGTGTTCCAATTTTCCCACATTTTTTCCAACATTTATCATTTTCCTGTTTTGTCATGTTGGCCAATCTGATAGATGTGATGTGGTACCTCAGAGTTGTTTTGATTTGCACTTCTCTAATCAATAGTGATTTAGAGCATTTTTTCATATGACTATAGATAGCTTTAATTTCTTCCTCTGAAAACTGCCTGTTCATATTCTTTGACCATTTATCAATTGAGGAATGACTTGTACTCAGAATTTATCTAATTAGTGAGTTGAAGCTTTTTTTTTTCACATGGCTATTGCTTGCTTGAAAACTGCTGGTTTATATCCTTTGACTATTTATCAGCTGGGGGATGGGAGCTTTAAAAATGATTTAAAAAGGAAGGGGAAAAAAGGCAATTTATCATAGCTAAGCCATATTTCAATGGAGTCTGGCAGAGCAAACCATATTCCATGCCCAGTGTCCCCTTCCTCTCATCTCATCTTTGGGAACAAGCTTACGTGCAGGGCTTGATATGAATTCAGCGTGGGCAGCTACAGGGTGCCATACTGCATAAAGTGCCAGGCCTGGAGTCAGGAAGACTCATCTTCCTGAGTTCAAATTTGGCCGCAGACACTTATTAGTTGTACGACCCTGGACAAATCACTTAACCCTGTTTACCTCAGTTTCCTCATATGTCAAAAAGCAGGAGAAGGAAATGGCAAACTACTCCAATATCTTTGCCAAGAAAACCCCAAACGGGTCACAGAGAGTCAGACACGACTGAAATGATTGAACAAGAATGAATTCAGTTGTACAAGGTATCAGGGAAAACAATCATTGATGTGGTTAAATAATCATTATTAGAATCTCAGAGTTGGAAGGCATCCCAAAGGTCAGCTAGTCCAACCTGTAACTCTATAGGACTTGCTCCTACTACTGGCCAAACAAACGGCCTTCTGGTCTCCGCTCAAAGGCCTTCAGGGAGGAGGAGCCCACCAATCCCAGGGACAACCCATTCGTTGCTCCCAAGTTCTTGCTCGGGTCAAGCCTAAAGCTGCCTCATTGCACCTTCTACTCATTGTTTCAGGTCTGCCATCTGCAGACAATCCTTTAAATATTGGAAGACAGTAATCTGCCCCCTCTCAGGCTTCTCCCAGTTCCTGTCCCCATAGGCAATGATCTCAAGGACTTGGCCTCCTGGTCAGCCTCCTCTCTGTGCCCTCTGGTGCAGTTTCTTCCTCGTAGCAGAGCAATATGGCAGAGTGCATAGAGGGTTGTGTTTGGAATCACGAAGACCGGGTCACATCCTGTCTCTATGGTGGTAGTGGAGAGCGATCAGATCTGGAAAGGACACTACAGGACATCTAGTCCAATAAGCGTATTTTATTTTACAGATGAGGAGCCTGGAACCCAGAGAAATAAAGTGACTGGCCAAGGTCATGCAGTGGCAGGGCTGCGATTTAAGCTCAGGCCCCAAGACTCCAAATTCAGAACTCTAGGCTCTGTCCTGGCTAGCCAAGTGATCATGGACAAGCCTTTAACTTCTCTGAGCCTCAGTTTCTCTTGTATAAAATGGGGATAATACTTATAGTATCTACCTCAGGATGTAGTTGTCTTCAAGTGTTTAAAATAATATATGTAAAGTGCTTTTAAGATCTTAAAATAGTATATGAATTCTTCTCCTTCTCCTCCCTCCCCTTCCTCTCTTCCCTTCTTCCTTCCCTCTTCCTCCTTTCCCTCTCCTTCTCCTTCACTCTTCTCTCCCTCCTCCTCCCCTTCTCCTTCATCTTTCTCCTCCTCCCCTTTTCCCTTCCCTTCCCTTCCCCCTCTCTCCTTTTCCCTCTTCCTCCCCCTCCTCCTTTTCCTTCTTTTTCTTCCTCCTCCTCCTCCTCTCCAAATGTATCACCTAGAAGTGCATACATATATTTGAAGCACTTCATTCATTATCACATTTGATCCTCATTACAATCCTATGATCTACGCAGGGCAGAGATTATTATTCCCATTTTACAGAGGAGGACACTGAGCCTCAGAAAGCTTGTCAGTTATCCCAGGTCATACATCTACAGTAAGTGACAGAGCTGAAGCTTGGACCCAGGCCTTCTCACTTCACATCCATACTCTTTCAATCACAGAAAAAAGCCCCTCGGGTTCAGCTGTTTTGAAGGGACACTATTCCCATTCATTCAAACTAATTGCTCATGAACTTCAACGGATCATCAAAGAGGCCAGGAACCAATAGAAACAGTAATAACTCTGTGGCAGGTATATTTTGTTGTAAGGTTCATCTGATTATGATACTAGCCTGGGCTGTGTACGTGCAACCTTCCTACTTTATGGTGCCCATATATTCTAAAGGCTTCTCTTGACAATTTGCAAAGCTCACGGAGAATATTAACTGGTATTGGGTCAAGGGCTGGGGGTGAATTAGAGCTGGGGAAGTACTCCAGGAGAGGGACCATTCTGGGAGCTCTGTCCTTCCAGCCAGATGCAAGGCTGTCTTCTCCTCTGTGACTAAATCCTCCCTCTCTGGTGTGAAAGAAAACTGGCTCTCTGCTCCCTCCCAAGTTTATTTAAACTTTTAAGGCTTTATCAAATGTTCTGTTTAACAAGAAGTCAAACAACCAGCACTTCTTGACCAAAGAGAGAGTTTATTTAAGATTAGGGCCTTATCAGTTGTTGCTTAACCACAAAAAAAGGTCACTGTTTATCTTCCCCCCAAAGACTGTATTCCTCCAGCTGGGGCACTTATGGCATGCTGGCCTCTTGGGAATGAGGTTCCATCCCTGGCACTAAGCCACTGACCCCAGCACTGAATCCCTGCTCTTGGCTCTGTGTCTATTGTCAGTGCTGCAATCTTATCCCCAGCACTGGGATCCCCCCCCCCCAACCCACACCAGTCCTTGGCACTGAGCCCCTATCTCTGGCACTGAGGCATCATCCCTGACTCTGGGCCCCCATTCATGACACTGAGCCCCCATCCTTGGCACTGACCCAGCATCTGCAGGGAGGCAGCCTAGGGAATAGAGCGCTAGGTTTGCAGTCAGGAAGACCTGAGTTCCAAAGCTGCCTCAGATACTTACCAGCTGTGTGATTCTGGGCAAATCGCTTAACCCTTTTCAGTCTTAATTTCTCCTTTGTACAATGAAGGTAATAACAGAACCCGCCTCTCACCTGCTTTGGTTTTTATGAGGATCGCATGAGAAAGCATAGGTAAAGGGGGGCTTTGTGAACCTTAATGTGCTATCTGAATGCTAGCTGCTCTTCTCCTCCTCCTTTCCCTCCTTTTCCTTTTCTTCTTCCTCCTCCTTCTCTTCCCTCTTCCTCCTCCATCTCCTTCTTCTCCCCTTCTCCTCTCTCTCTTCCTTTTCTTCCTTCATTCCTCCTTTCCTTCCTCTTCCTTTTCTTCTTTCTCCTCTTCCTCTGCCTCCTCTTCCTTTTCCTCCTCCTCCATCTCCTCCTTTCTCTTCCTCCTCCTCCTTCATTCCCTCCTCCCCCTTCTTTTCCTCCTCTTCCTCTTCTTCTTCCTTCTCCTCTTCCTTTTCCTCCCCCTCCTCCTCTCTCTTCCTCCTCCTCCTTCTCTGTTTTCTTCTTCCTCACTCATGCCCCTAACTGCCCTCTTCTCACTCGTTCTCATGATTGATCCTTTGGGGTTGGTCCTGCATTTCTGCCTTGGTTCTTGCCTCCAGGAAGTTTTCAGCCACTGCGAGCTCTCCTAGCACCCATGCTTCTGAAACCAGGAGAGTGAGAGGGAAGGGCAGCCATACTCCTCTGAGAGTCCTGTAGAAACAATACTGAGGACTTGGAGCAAGCCCTTGACCTCTCTGGGCTTGGTTTCCTGCTCTGTAAAATGAAAGGATTCAAACTAGAATGATGTCTAAGGTCCTTTTGTGTTCATGATCCCTGAAAGGCCCTAGGTAGGGATCAGGTGGCTGCTGAGGGGCACCTGCTCGCAGGATGGCCCTGAGTCTGTTGGGGGAGACTGGACATTCCCCCTCCCCAACCCTTCCTGTCATCCCCTTCAAGACACGAACATTTTTACCAGAGCTGAGTTTTTCTAATACAGCACTGGGAGCCCATTGAGGGGACAGAGGGTTCCAGGCTCGGGTCCTGAAGGGTAAGTTTCAGAACTCAGTGTTTCTGGCTTAAGTCAGTGAAAGGGCTTGGGGTGGGGGCAGCAAGCAGAGGGAGGGCATGGGTGGGTGTGTCTGTGCCTTTCCTCAGCCTCTATCTGTCCTGGGAGGGTTATCACACCCTAGGGAATCTCTTAAAAGGGGACATTTCCTCCCTGAAAGGAGGGGAGCTAGGTGCTGCCCCTTGCCTGGTTCCCCTGAAATGAGAGATGCCAAAGGAAAGGAAAATCCCTCCTAGACCCCCCTCCCTCCCTATCCCTCCTCTTCCCCCTTTTCTCCTGCCCTTGACCTAGCCCTGCCCTGCCCTGCCCTGCGCAGGCCTTCCTGAAAAACCCAGTCAGGACAGCCTCAGCCCTGGGAAACTGGTTCTCCAACACTGAGGCTGCTGGCAGTGTGCTAGGGAGGAGGGGGCCTGGGGAGTGTATGTGTGAATATGTGTGTGTGTGTGTGTGTTTATGCACGTGTTTGTGTAGGTGTGACTGGGTGTGTATTTGTAGGTGCACCAGTTTACATGTTTGTAAGGTGTCTGTGCATATTTCTGTACGTGCTTGTGTGTGCGTGTGTGCGTGTGTGTGTGTGTGTGTGTGTGTGTGGTGGATGTGCCTTTGTGTGGGGAGGGCAGAGCATTGTGTGTTTTGTGTGCACACCTCTGGGTGTTGTTTCCTTGTATTTGTGTGATCACATGTGGAAAGTGTGTACGTGTTTATGCCAGGTATGTTTGTTTGTGCATGTCTCTGTATGTGGGAAGGTGAGTGGGCATCTACGTGTGAGTCTGTTTTTGCAAACTCCTGCACTGTGTGTGTCCTTTGTGCATATCGGTGTTAGTATGGGGAAGACATACCAGTGAGTATGCTGCAGTGTGCATTACTGTGTTATCTGCATGCTGTTCCATCTATTGGGTTTATGGGTGTTCTTTGTGGGTGTGTATAAGGTATTGCCATGTCCATGCAGGAGTTTGCATATTAGAGTGTGCAGGCACAACTGTGAGTGTTTGTGTTCATATCTCTGTGTGTTTGTGAGCAGAAGGTATACTTGTGTTTGTGTAGGACTGTGTGTATCATTGTGTTGTTTGCACATGCAGGCACACCTGTGGGTGTTCTGTGTGCATCTATCTGTGTGTGTTTGCTGACTTGGCTGGACTCTTATCTCTAAAGACACTGGGGCTGCTAGTCCAAGCCCCCCATTTTGCAGATGAGGAAACTGAGGTCCAGGGAGGGGAAGTGTCCAAGGTACTACAGTATTGATCTGTGAATGTTTGGGTCTGGGTGCCCAGCTTTGTGCCGGCTTGTATTCTGAGAATGTGCCTGGATATGTGTTGTACAGATCTGTGGGGGTGGGGGCCGTGCCTGAGTATTAACCGAAATGTGGAAATGATGTCATTTTGTGTGTGTGTGTGTGTGTGTGTGTGTGCACACGCGCGCATAAGGTCACACACACCCAATAGGAGAGAGGTATCTGTCCCCTGCTCCCTCCCCCGGCCCTACTTCCTGGTAATTTCCCTTGCCTCCAGCCTAGCCTCTGGACTCTCAGGGACAGAGAAAAGAAAGGACACTCTGAGTCACGCCTTTCTTTGCCTCCTCTTTCACCACTCCCCTTCCCTGCCACAACCTCCACCTTTGTAGAAAGTCCCTCTTTGTCAGATGGGCAGTGGTATTGCTGGAAGCCATAAAGAGCCCGCTTGAGTCAGTCATTCATTTTCTATGGCTCAGCTTTCCTCAGGGTTGGCCCTGTCACAAACTGGACAGATGCTGCCACATCCGGGTACCTTCAATCATGCGCTCTGCCTGCTTGGCCTGGGCAAGGTTGGGGGCTGAAGCCACATTGGGAGTTTGGAGCAGTCGGGAATCCCAGGTTTCCCAGCTCCCACCTCAGTGTGCTTTTCACTCTAAAGGAATCATCCCTGGCTAGTCAGCATCCTTCCAAACTGAGCCCCAATCCTTGGCATGGAGGACCACCCAAACACTGAGCCTCTATCCCTGGCACTGAGCCCTAATCCCTGGCACTGAGCCCTAATCCCTGATACTGAGATCTCCTCCCTGGAAACAAGCCCCCATCCCCTGCACCAAGCACTTGTACCCAGACCTCAGCCTCTGACACTGGCACTGAGGCCCCATTCCCAGTACTGAGTTCACATCTCTGCCACCGAGACCTCATTCTTGGAAATGAGCCCCCATCCCCAGCTCTGAACTCTTCTCTCTGACACTAAGCCCCCATGCCTGGCACTGAGACTCCCTCCTTAGAAATGAGCTCACACGCCCAGAACGGAGTTCTCATCTCTGATACTGAGCCCCCATCCCTAGGCCTGGACCCTCCCCTCCTCCAAACCCCTGCACCACCTGGAACTCAGCTCCATCCCTAACACTTATTGTTAGCCATGGGACAGGGGAGTATTTTAAATTACATTCAAAAGGGGAATACAGAATAAATACCAGAGCCAGGCAATTAAATTCCTGGGTTGAAGTGTGTGTGTGTGTGTGTGTGTGTGTGTGTGTGTGTTTTAATGTCTAGCATGAGGACTTAGAAGGCCAATCCTAAATTCAACTCAGGCCCTTTCTCTCCCCACCCCCTACCTCCCCCTTCCTTTGAAGGAGTTCCTTCTGGCTTTTTGGTGCACTTCCCTATGGACCCTGCTTTGCCCAGAGGTGAGATGGGAAGACCATTCCAGGACTTCCCCTCTCCATGGTCCACCAGATTTCTGGTGAATGACTGATTTTCTGACCCCTACTAGGGCAGTGGGTAGTGATGGCCAGGCCAACCTCCCTTCCCATATCCAGTAAGGAAGGAGCACGAGGTTCATGGGACCTGGGTTCTAGTCTTGGCCATGACATTAGGTGTCCTTTATTGAATCAGTCCCTTTCTTTTGGCTCAACAGGGTTGGATTAGATAATCCATAGTAGAAAGAGCCTTGACTCTGGAGTCAGATGACCCGGGTTCAAATCCCACTACCTGTGGGCAGAGAGTAAGCAAGTCACTGACGCCTTCTGGGCCTCAGTTTCCTCCTTCATAAAAAAAGTGGTTTGGTTTAGATCAATCCTTAAGTCCCTTCCAACTCGGTGTCTAAGATTCCCTCTGAGGTTCTGGAACAAGACAGGAGTGTGGATAGAAGGACCAAGGGATCTTATTTCTATTTGAGGAATTATGACAAAATTCAGGTGTACCTGTGATCATCAATACTGGGGCTGGGGGTGAGTCATAGTAAGCCTGAAGTTCAAGAGTAAGGAAGAGAGGACAAAGGAAAAGGGGAGAGAGGGAGGGGGAGAAAGAAAAATGGCTGAGGGGCCCCTCTCAGACTGGAATCTAGGAATTTCTGAGCACACCATTACCCATATCTTGTCCTTTTCCTCCCCATCCCCCTGCTTAGAGCCAGATCGCTTGGGGAAGGAGTGTGGAGTATGTGTAAAGGGCTTTCCGAGAGCTGTGGAAGGTTCAGGAAAACCCTCCGCCCATATTGCCTTTCTTTCTTTAGTTGTAGTTTTTTCAGTGCTATCATTTATTTTAAAATCTCATCTATTTCCATTTATATCTTTTTCCTCTGCTCTACCCAGAGAACCATCCCTTGGAACAAAGAATAAAAGAGAAAAACAGGGGTGTGTTGTTATTGTTTTTGAATGGAGTTTTGCAAAAGTAACCAACCCCCCAGGCGAGCCTAGCAGTGTATAACGTGTTCCTGTCCATTACATGCTCCCCTTCTCCCCCCACAAAGGGAGGGATGGGTGCTTTTTCTCATCTCCTCATTGGGGCCGAGCTTGGTCATTAGAAATAGACGATGTTCCCTCCCTGCTAGTGTCTGGTGTCTAAAAAATAGATTTTTATGGAGTTCCTTTCCTTTTCTCCCTTTATCTCTGCCCCCCCATCCCAGAGTGCTTCCTAATAATAAAGACTTTTTCAAAAAAAAAGGAAAAAGAGGAAGAGAAGGAAAAACAATGAACAAGAACAATTAGCACGTCAAAAGACCAGAACAAAGACAAAAACAAACCCCCAAGCTTGGCAGTGTGGGTGATGCTGCTCACCAGCCTCACCCGTATGTCCAAAGCCAACGGTGCCTCCCCCCACTCCCAGCTTGGCCCAGGCTGGGAATCTCACCTGACATTGGCCTGGGGTCACTTTCTCTCTTTTTGACCTTGGATCGCACGATTGTGGGGACTCCGTGGGTCCTGAAAAGGTGTGGTGACTTCTTGGTGCCACCAGGAGGCTCCCTCTCCCACCCTTGAGACCTTGGAGGCCTCCACCCTGTGCCTTTACCCACTTCTTATCTCAGAATCTAAAGCTTCCTAGTCCAACCCTTTTGGTTTTGGCTTTTGGTTAAACAGAGGAAGGAGAAATGCCGCGATTTCAACTTTGCATTCTTCAGCCCAGCCCCAGCCCCCTCCTCCCCTCTCTTCCTCCTGCTTCCTCCACTTTACTTACAGGAGGGATCCCAGACCAACTGGTCTACCCCAGCCCCTTCACTGTAGTGGAGGGAACGGGTCCTGGCAGTTAAGCGATTTACGCTGAAAGTCAGCTTCAGAGGTAGGATTCAAACCCAGATCCCTTTGGCTCCAGGACTAGTGCTCTTTTTACTGAGCCACATCATCTTCTCTACTTCTCCCCTGGGCACAGAGGGAAGTGGAAAAGGCCCTGGCTTGAAAGACAGGAGACCTGGGTTTCATTCTTGGCTCTTTCATGAACTTGCTGTTTGCCCTTGGGCAAGTGACTTCTCACTCCAGAGGCTTAGTTTCCTCTGTAGAATGAAAACATTGGACTAGATGGTCTCAAAGGTCCCTTCCAGCTCCAACACTGCATACATTTATTAAGTACCTACTGTGTGCAACACACTGTGCTAAGTGTTGGGAAAACAAAGATTGTCCTAGCCATGGAGATTTTGCCCAGTTCGGTCTTTATGATTTCTTTGGGATGAAGTTCCAGTGATGGAACTGATGGGTGATCATAGCTGGAAGGGACCTCAGAGGCTATCTTGTCAAACCCTCTTATTTTATAGGTGAGGAAACTGAGGCTTTGAGAGGGGAAGGGACTTATTCAAGGTAAAATAGGTAGTGAGTATAGGGACAGGGAATGGACGTGGGATTTCACTGGTGGAGAGAACTCTGTGCCAATATTGGCTGACACCTTCTCTCCAACTTATAATCTTAGGGAGCTGCCTAAAGCACTGAGACACTTGGCCAGGGTCATACAGCTAGTTTATGTCAGAGGTGAGATTTGAACCCAGGTCTTTCTGACTTTGAGGTCGGCTCACTATCAACTACTCCATGTATTATATCACAGGTCAAATTCATTGCTCTTCCAGTGTCATTAAGCCTGTTGAAAGGTGAGACCCAGGGCAGCTAGGTGGCACAGTGGATGGAGCACCAGCCCTGGAGTCAGGACAACCTGAGTCAGGCCTCAGACACTTGACACTAGCTGTGTGACCCTAGGCAAGTCACTTAACCCCAATTGCCTCACGGAAAGAGAGAGAGAGAGAGAGAGAGAGAGAGAGAGAGAGAGAGAGAGAGAGAGAGAGAGAGAGAGAGAGAGAGAGATTGGTGAGACATTTATTACATGTCAGATTGCTTTCTGAAAGGGCTGACTGATGTTGACATCAGTCTCAATACCACCAATAATGTAGTAGTGTGCCTGTTTCTCCAGTGCCCAATCAATATTGAATTTTATCTTTTCATTTTCTGTTTTTCTTTTTTTTGCATTCCATGGTTTACAATTACCTTTGCCACGGTTATGGTTACCAGCTGATTTGATTCGTATTTTTCTCATTATTAGGGATTGTTGTTATTAAAGACAATGTGAATTTTTTCCTTCAGAAATTGTAATTTCCTATTCATTGGTCATACTTCAGTGAGTGTCCTCTAGGGGTAGGGGCTGCCTAGAGAACAGTGGGGTTCTTTATTGCTAAGGATCTCAACCCCTTTTCTAAGGAAACCTAACAGCTCAAAAGCCCAGTCCCCCCAAATCCCTTGGGGAAAGGAGAATTTATATCTCATTCCTTCTAACTCAATCCCTAGATCAAGGGTTCTTAACTTTTTTTTGCCAGTCTAGTGAAGCTTAAGGAGCCCATCTCAGAATCCCATTTTTAAATGCATAAAATAAAACACGGAGGATTGCAAAAGAAGGCAATCCTATTGTAATACGCTTATCAAAATATCCCCAAACAGATTCCCCAAACCTCAGGTTCAGAATTCCTGACCTAAACGGTCACTTCCAAGCAGGCTCAGCTAGTGAAGGGCCCCAAATGCCGAGACCTTAGTCAATAATTAACATCTCACCATCTGGTTTTGGTTTTTAGCTCAACCTAAGATTTCTTTGGGAGTAATGAGGAACTTCTCCCAAGTCAAACAGCACCTTTTCCACAACTTGTGGGCCAAGAGAGCTGCCTGGCCGGGCATGTGTTGGTAAATGTTTAACAACAGGCTTTCGGGGGGGAGGGGAAATGTAAGTAGGAAACATTTTTTGAGTCTGATCTGCATCATTAACATTTTCTCTATCACTTTTTAAAATCTAGAATAATCATTCAGACCCTGATTGTGTAGTATTTGCCAATGTCTGGACTGTAACTACTCGCACTGAAACTTTAACAATCTGCTTTAGTGAGCCTGGCTCCAGCTGCCCCCTCCCCAGATTGAAATCACTTGGTCAAGGTCATGCAGCTACTACATGTGGGCGATGGGACATAGCTTCTGGGAGATTTCAGGCTGACAAGTCACTTTCCTCATGCAAGGAGGAGTGAGCAAAGGCACAGGGAGGTTTTGAGGTGACTTGCCAGTGTTTGCAAGGGTTAGAGCCTGTGTTTGGACAGGTACCCTTTCAGTTACACTGCACCGCTTCTTCATGGGGAAACCACAGGATTCATCCTGCAGGAAAATGAAGTGATTGGAAGTAGCCCCCTGTGAAGTGGGCCACCTCCTATAGGAAACCACGCCTGATCCTCCCACTTCCTAGAGCCCTTTCTACCAGTAGTTACATTGTGTCTGCTTTGTATAGATTTTGTATTCACTTTTCAGTCTATTTGCTATTTACCTCTAATAGAACATAAGCTTGGAGGCAGCTAGGTGTGCAGTGGAAAAAGCATCGGCCCTGGATTCAGGAGGACCTGAGTTCAAATACAGACTCAGACACACAACACTTACTAGCTGTGTGACCCTGGGCAAGTCCCTTAACCCCATTTCCTAGCCAAAAACAAAAACAAAAAAACACAAACATGAGCTCCTCCAGGGCAGTCACATTCATGAACCCCCAGTGCCTACCACTTATTATAGAAGCTGTGTGATCATAAAGTGCTTTTTAAATGAATGAATGAGTATTCTTGTGCCACCAATATAGGGGCACATTTCAAAAGTTGCCGGATAATCCCAAGAGAGGAGGGGAAGGCTCTCCGGGAGTGGGGGCAGGGGAGGTGGTAATGATGCTCTTCTGGGGAATGAAACTGGTAGGCTTTCCTTCTCTGTCTGGGCCAGCTCTGAGTGCTTGTGGTTCAGAGGACAAACGCTAGACCACCACCAATGTCACTCTGCTCCTGGTCCCCAGTCTCCGACCTCAGGATCACCACCGTCTTTGTACACACAGTAGGTTGGTTACCTTCCTTGGGTCAGCTGTGGAACCAGGGTGGTGTGGGTAGGGCAGGTACACTGGGTGGCTGCTAGAAATGGGTCAGAGGTTAGCTCTTATGATTTCATAGGATTCAGAGCAGGAAAGAAAGATCATCTAGTCCAATGACCTCATTTTGTGGATGAGAAAACTGCCCTAAGACAGGGTAAGTGACTTGTTTCAGGTTGTAGAATCACAGACTGGCTCTAGAGTCTAAGGACATGGATTCATATCCTGCCTCTGACATTCACTATCTGTATGACCTCAAGCAAATAATTTCACCTCTCTGGGTCACTGTTTTCTCTTCTATAAAGTGAAGGGTTAGACTCCATGATCCTGGAGCTCCCTTCCAGCTTGAGGACTCTAGGAGTCCAGACAGGTGTGGAGAATCTGCAGCCTTGAGGCCACAGGTGGCTTTCTAAGGCCTCCGGTGTGGCCTTTTGACTGAGTCCAAGTTTCACAGATCAAATTCTTTTATTAAGGGGATTTATTTTGTGAAGTTGGGGTGCAGTGAAAGGGCTGCACTTGAAGACCTTGAGATTGCAGGTTCCCCACCTCTGCTAGGATGAATCCCAGTCTTGGAAGGGACCTCAAGGGTCCTGTGATCCAATCTGCCTTGAAAAGCAGCTGTGGTACGATGGGAAAAGAAACGGCACTGGGGCCATTTCCTGAACTTAAACAGCACCTCTGACGATTACCACCTTCATGACCCTGCACAAGTCACTTAAACTCTTTGGGCCTCACTTTCCTCATCTGTAAAATAAGAGAGTTGGACTAGATAGCCTCTAGATGGCTTCAAATCTATCATTCTGTGAACTTTTCTAGGGAAACCTTTCTCCAGCTTCCATTTGAAGGCATCCTGTGCATGCCTACCACCTCTAGAGACCTCCCTGTACCCAGTCAGGCCCACAAAGGTCTAGGGTTTCCTACTTACACTGCTCCCCAAAGCCTGTGGTTAAACATTTACCAGCACGTGCCTGGCCAGGCAACTCTCCAGACCCATAAATTGTGGAAAAGGCGCTGTTTGATTTGGGAGAAGTTCCTCATTAAATTAAATCATAGGTTGGGCTGAAAACTAAAAAAAGATGTCAGATGTTAATTATTGACTAAGGCCCTGCCATTTGGGGCCCTTCACTAGCTGAGCAGCAGATATGGGGACACACCTACTTGGGCATCTGAGGCTCTACCGAGCCTGATTTGGGAAAGGTGAGATGAGTGGGTGGGGACTGGTCTGGAAAAGAAGATGAGAGGTTTGAAAAAGCATAATGTTAAGAACTGCATGACCATGGAGAAACCACTGAATCCCCAAACAGCTGTTCTCTGAAAAGCCTGACTCACAAAGGGTGAGCAGTGATCAAAGCCTGGGATGTGGTCCTCGGACTCCTGGTTTCTGTTCTTGGTTCTCTTGCTAATGACTCACCTGACTGTCACAGGTGGTATCACTCACCCTCTAGAATGATCTCTGCTTTCTCTTTGCCTCTCTGGGAGACTTTCCTCAGAGCCCTACCCTTGGGCATGCAATGAATGAAGGAAAGGTTGGTTCCAAAGGTACCAAACTCCAAAAGTGCATCCTGAGGTAGGGATGGGGAGGATACCTTTCCCTCTTGGAAAGCAGTAGGGGAAGCTGACCCAGGGTGCTGAGAAGACCAAGGGTGAGAAGAGGGTTTCCCTATACAAAAATCTTCATCTTGCTGAGTGATTGAGAGACATTGTGAGAGAGATTG